CTGCATTGAAGAAGTTGTCCTCTGAGCTACCCAAAAAGAGGCAGGCACCCTCAGAGCAGCAGTAGGTGTTGACGGAAGCCCAGAGGCTATGGACAGAGAGTTAGTTGGAGAGGCAAGGCAGGCAGTGAGGGCATGGGCCCCCTGGACTCTCCTCCATTCCCATGGCAGTAACCCCATTTCATGCCATAATAGTTAGCCCCGATCAAGCTAAACTGGCCTGCCTGGTGGCATCACCTGCCTCTGGCCTAAGGATGGCAGAGAGCCACCTGCCTCAGAGGCAGATGTGCCAAGGACTGGAAGGAGACAGGACTTACTCGTTGCCAATGAGGCCGCAGTAGTAACCAAACTCGATCGGAGTATCACCCTTCAGCTGATAGTTGCTCCTTCTGTTTCTTACTCCAAAACCCTGAAACCAGAAGAGACCAACAAATGTTGAGAAGCCCCCTCCTGATGGTAACTGATCTCTGCAGAGGCCACCACAACGGGCCCTACTGGTTTCCCTCCTTCTATTCTCTCCCCACCCCCCACAATCTAGCCTCTTGCTAAAGCCCTTCCAATGGCTTCCTATAGAATCCTTACTGTGGTTTCCAAGGCCCCTTGACCCTCTTCATCTCTCCACCTGCTCTCTGTCACATTCCCTGGCTCACTCTGCCCCAGCCACAGTGGCCTTTCCACCTGTGTAATTCTGCCAGGTCCCCTTGTACAGTCTGATCTCCGCCACAGCCTCAGGAATGATGACAAGGATAGCTGATACCACTGCCAATATCCTAGTCATTGGTGTGTATTTACTTCCTTAATCCTTTGCACAACCCTATGGGGTAGGTCCTATTATTAGCATGCCATATGACAGATAAGAAACTGAGTCACAGGATATTGAAAGGAGCTCGCCCTAGGGCATATAGTTGGGAAATGGCAGAACTGGGATTTGAAACTGGCAGTCTGACTCTTAACCATTATTCTGTACAACGTGCTCAGTATACAAGAGGGAGGCATTGTTATCCTTTATCCTTTATTTGGGGGTAGGGAGAGGGTTCTTTGAGTCAAGCAGGGGCCACAAACCTACTGCCTGCAGGAACCAAGCAGGGAATTTGAATGGGAACGTGAAGCAACTGGGTGGTGTAAGATAACAGGGCGTGTGGGACAGTAGTGACCTGGAGAGCACGTGGCCTTCTACAGCCACCTACCCAGCCACCTGTCTTCAGCTCCAGAAGGGTGTTGCTAAGAAGGAAATACAGGCTCAGAGGTGACTTTTCAACAGAAGCCACGGATCTGAATTTTTAAGTGAAATCTCCCAATTGCGTAAATGGTGGCAAATAAAATTCAAGTTTTCCTCCCCCAAACAACAGGCAGACTAAAGAAAAGATGTCCATGGGCTGAGTGGCTGCAGCACATAGGCCTCCAGTTTGCAGCCTCTGGTCTGAGACATGAGGCATTTCCTTTCACCTGCAATGCCTGCTTCCCTGTCCTTTCTCTACCTCCATGTTGCTTTCTTGCTCTTCTTCCTTTCCTTCCGTCCTCTCTGTCCCCCCTCGAGTGGCCTAGCCGCCCACCAGCTGGCCATCGGTCTGGTAGTTCTGGATGAGAGCGTAGGAGTAACCCACACCAGCAGGGGATGCCAGGTACAGGACATTGGTCCCCAGATGCCAGCGGTGACGTATCCATCAGCGTTTTTCTGCAGGGAGGAGGGAGATGTGTGGTGTCCACTGGGCTGTAGGGGCCAAGGGCACCCACTGGGTTAGATGTAACAAGATGGCAGCCGGGGAGGAACAGAAGGGGCTGCTCCAGTCAGGGGGCAGGTGGCCCCAGGGCATCCCCCAGGCTATCATGGGAAGGATAGGCAAGCCCTCTTTCTTCCAGCCTCTCTAAACCTTCTCTAGAGAGAATCCTTCCACCTCCTGAGCAAGAGGATATTCCCTCTTAAGGCCAAACGTTGCAAAAGAGATTCTTCCTGAAACTTATCTCCAAACTGCTCCAGACTGGGTCTGTTCTGTGGAGAGAGAACTTGTCTGCCAGATACTGCGCTCAGTACTCAGTGAGAACTACCTCCTTGCTCTTCACATCTACCCTTGGTTCTATTAGGTTCTATTATTATTCCCATTTCTCAGATGAGAAAACTGAGGCCCAAACAGGTTTATGTGCCTCAAGTTACATGGCTGCTATATGGCAGAGCCCACATTTGAACAAATCAGTCTGTTTCCAGGGCACACAATATGCTAAACTTCTTCCCCTAAATGACTCAAATCCTCACAACACTAGTATTATATTATTGCCCATTTTACAGATGAAGAAATTAAGGCCCGCAGAGGTTAAGTTACTTGCCCGCGCTCCCACAGCTGAAAAGTGTTGGAGATGAACCACCGCTGTGTTATCCAGGCATAGGAACCAGTTCTGCAGCTCTTAGTAATGCTCAGCATGGTTTGTTTTCCAATGCATTTCACTCACCTGGTCTTAAAAAGCCCACAAGGCAATCAACCGATGAAAAGACTGGGACCCAGAGAGGAAGAGTGGCTGGCCCAAGGTGACACCAAGTACAGATCAGGTCTCCTAAATCTAAGTCCAATGCTCTTTCCCCCACACGGAGCTGCTGGCTCTGCTGTCACCCTCCCAGAATTTCTGGCCCTGAAGGCCTGAGTCGAATTCTCCTGGCCCTCATCTCCTGGCCCTAGGGTGAGCAGAACCCCTCAGGGGTCCTCATCATAGCTCTGGCTTGCATCATAGAGGAAAAAGTAGGCCAGATAAACTTTGTCCCTCCTGCCCCACCCCAACACTGCTCCCAGGAAGCCCCTGCCTCACCCAGTGGGGCCCCTTCTCAGCCAGAATTCCCTCCATGGAGCTATAGTTGGGACCACCATTCAGTCAGAGTGCCAGAGGGTCTGATGAGGGGTCCCTTGGGACTCCACAAACCTGCCAGAACAAGAAACAAGGGTCCTCTGACACCATGTCCCAGGGTGGCCAGCTTCATGGCCATGTGACCTGTGTTTAGAAGGTCCCCCCCTACTGGTTTACTGCTCTGTTGTCTGTCTTGAATTCTTAATAACTTTTGAACAGGTGCCCCACAAATTACATAGCAGGTCCCGGGGCCAGGAATCAGTCCAGCTGCTTGGCCTCCCTTTCCCCTCCCCGTGGGAGGCCTGTGTTGGCAAGGGCATTTGGCGTCCCTTTGTTTTTTGAGGGATCCTTACTGAGGACTCATGGTTCCCTGGTTCTTGCAGCTGGCTCCTGACCCAACTTCAGCTTGGTTAGCCATGTGTGAGCGATTGGGGGTTGGGGAGGGCAAGGCAGGACCGTTAGTGGCGAATTCCAACTGGAACCACAGGGTTTCCAAGTCAGAAGGACCTCCGCAGCCATCTGCTGCAATTCTCCTACTGTAGAGGAAGGGAACCTGAGGCCCAGAGAGGGCAAGAGACCTGTGTGAGGTTGCACAGCGAGTAGGTGTTTGGACTAACAGAGATGCTTTCTTTACCACCTGTATGTACCCTGCTAGAGGGGGCAAGCAGTGAAGGGATGGAGTGCTCATTCAACACTGGGCTGGGCCTCGGAAGACTTCTGTCATCTGAAACTGTGTGAAGTTAGATTTTAGCTCCAGGCAGGCAGGATTCCTGCAGGCTGGGAGAGCAGCCCTGCCAGCTTTGGATTCAATAAAAGCAGCAAGTCTCTGCCAAACTGAAGCATAAGTCATAAGTGCATAAGTTCCCTTTCAAATGACAAAAAAAAAAAAAAAGGGGGCGGCGCGGGGACAAGATTAAAAAAGAAGGAAAGAAAAAACCCAAACCTGACTCCCCAGCAGAGCGCCTTGGCAGGATGAATTGGTAGAGTGGCGCGTCTTGGCCACCACCCCTGCTGTGCACGCACCCTGCCTCAGGGTGGGTACTGAGGCCTTTCCAACTCCCAGCTCCCTTAATCCACCCAGCAAACCTGTCTGATGCTATTTTTGTTTTCATTTAGCAGATGTAGAAATTCAGGCTCGGGGAGGTGAAGGGCCTTTCCTGGGATTTCTTATGTAATGCTCTCAGAGCTCACTGATCAAAAGAGATAATCATGCCAAGCGTAGAACAGTGTCAAGCACATAGTAAAGGCTCAATAAAGATTAGGTATGTAAGATCCCACCCGCTGGAAATGGTACAACGAGGACTCAAACCCAGACCTACCCATTTCCAACTCTGTACTCTATTCCTGTTGTCTGGGGTCTCCCGGTGCCTCAGCCCTGTTCAGTTAAACCTCAATTGATTTAAGCTCAGCTCACAGTTCAATTGATTTTTTTTTCTCAGCTTTTGACACAGAAGAGTAAAAAAAAAAGCAAATCCACAGGAAACAAACTAGGATTTAGAATTTAGTCTCTGAAGACAATTTTTCAGGCATGTTCTATAGTGAGTCCCCACTCGGGCTAATTGCCTGCACCTTCTCTGTTCTCAAGCCTAGACAGGGGGTGACACATCACAGATGCTTAAAAACAACCTGTGGAGGAAAAGAAGAAAGGAAGAAGCTGTCCACCATGCCTTAAGTCAGCAAGGAAAGATCCAATTATATTTTTGACAGATTCTTTGCCCAAGAAGAAAGGATTCCTAACACATTTTAGAATTTTAAATTTTAAACATCGAGGGATGTATAGCATAGGGAATTAACTCATGTTAATCAGGAATTTAGTTAAGCAGAATGGCTGGTCACTGGTTCTTGTCACTTGAGGTCCAGCGGTAATAACACAGCACCCAGAAGCCTCCCTTATGCTAATAAGCATGGTGCCCAGGGGCCTGAGGCAAGCAGCTTCTCCCTGGGCCTCCGTTAACTACAAGCAGCCAGATAAGCAGGGAGGATGTTGGGGTCTGCAGATGGCCAAAGTTCATGGTGAAGCTAAGAGGTTACCTCTATCTCACCTGCACAGCCCTGGCTATTGGGCCAGTCCCATTTCCTTTGTCAGCCAGAGCTTCTGCGCAGAGGCCGGCAGGACAGCTGGCTCTGGTGCTGACACCTGCTCACCTACTGACATTTCAGAGCCCCAGGGCAAATGCTAGGATGCAGGGGAGCACCAGGTGCTAGGGTTGGCTGATTTGGTTCAAGGTGAATTGCAGGGCTCCAAACCTCATGTCTCCCACCCCCAGGGTCAAGTAGGGAACATAAATGAGAGAAGCTGCCAGGCTGGTGCTGTAGTGAGCTGGAAAGCAGGGGTCCACTCTCGCTGGTGCTTTCCAAACAGGATTTAGGACCAGTGTTACCAGATATTCCGGTTTCTCAGAGAAGTTGGGCCTGCAGATTTCTATGTAATAGCTCTGAATTATAAAATTCTTCCTTCCTTCCTTCCTTCTTTCCTTCCTTCCTTCCTTCCTTCCCTTATCTTCATCCTTTCTTTTTCTCCTTTTCCTCCTCTTCCTCCTTTTAAAAGTATAAGTACATGAGAGCTTCTATTTACAACCCCTGGAATAAGGAACCGGGGAGGAAAAGGCTGAGGACAATATAATCTGCCAGAGCTGGGAGGGACCACAGAATCAACCTCACCAAGAAGAAACTAGCAAATGGCAAATGGACATGCTACCGCATTCTTCCATTTTCATGTTTTGAACATTAAGAACTAAGCCCATAGGACATCATTCGGTCTTAGCTGGTGCCTGGGAATCCGGTCCCTGGTCCAACCACTGCCCCTTTAGGAGGCAGAGCTAGTTACATTCCCAGCCAGACTCTCTTTCTCTACCTTGGGCCTTTGGAAGCGACCCTGGTGAGTGTGGGGGGTGCAGCTCTAGCTAGTGGGAAGTCAGTGAAATGACACATGACCCAGGTTCTCTTCTCCAGGAAGAGCTTACTATATAGAAGGACTTGAGGTGAACCCTTTTAAAGTGAAGAATTTCACCCTAATTTATTTAAGGTACCCTCTGATGCCAAATGTGATCTTTCAAAAGAATAACAACAATAAAACATTTATCCCTTACTACATAGGCAAGCCACTTTTTACAAATCCAGTGAAATTCTTGCAACAACCCTTTCAGCTAAATATTTATGTGTATTTTCCAGCTTATGTGGTAGGTAAAGATGGCCACCAATTCTTTGTCACTCCTCTCTTGGAGGGGTGCTCTCTTGCTCCCCTCCACTTGAATCTGTTGACCGGCTGTAAATCAGGGTTTCCACAACTCCTACCTCAGTGGTTGATAATTTGCTAGAATGGCTCACAGAACTCAGAGAAACACTTACATATGTTTACCAGGATATTATAAAGGATACAGATGAACAGATAAAGAGGTACATAAAGTGAGGTCCACAAGGGTCCGGAACACAGGAACTTCTGTCCCTGTGGAGCTGGAATGTGCCACCCCCCTGGCCTATGAATGTGGTCACCAACCCAGAGCTCTCCCAACCATGTACTTTTAGGGGTTTTTTGTTTTGTTTTGCTCTTAGGGTTTTTATGGCGGCATGATTAGTCACTAACTCAGTCTCTAGCCTCTCTCCCCTTCCCTAAGGATGGAGGGTGAGGCTTAAAGTTCCAAGCTTCTAATCATGGCTTGGTTTTTCTGATGACTACCAGCCCCCATTCAAGAGCCATTCAGGAGCCCACCAAGCATTGCCTCATGAGAACAAAAGACACTCTTATCACATAGGAAATTACAAGGGTTTTAGGAACTCTGGGCCAGGGAACTGGGGGCAAAGATCAATAGCTGTGTATATCTATACTTTCCCAAGTTCTATTGTTATTAAAAAATGGAGAAGGGGCCAGGCAGTTTCTGCTACCACAAATATTATAATATACGGATAAGGAAATCAAGGCTCAAATAGTTTAAGTAACAGCTAAGGCCTCATAATAAGCAGCAAAGCTAGAATTCAAACATGGCCTATTGTAGACATTCAATTTTCACCTCTCATATTTCAAAATAATTTTAAGGCAAAAAAAAAAAAAGAAACTAGTCATGCATCTAGTTTTAAAAATTCAGTGGTACTAAAAAGCTTATATCAAATGCCAGCAGTCCTTCGTCCCAACTCTACCCACCTCTGTTTAGCCGTGTTCCCCACATCCATGTCATTTAAGCTGTTTCTTTTGGCATTTCTCTCAGTATTTTTTAATTAATTAATTAAATTTATTTATTTATTTAATTAGTTTCAGGTGTACGACACAGTGCAATAGTTATACTTTTTACCCCTCAAAGTGACAACCCCCACTCCCAATACACTGCCCCACTCCCCCCCCCCATATCTCTCAGTATTTTAAAATACAGTGTTCAGACTATTTCTTGATTTATAAATTATTGGGTCATTGGGAAAGTCATGATGCATTTTTGCATTGGAAAACATAGAAAGATATGACATGACTTTCTCGACAACCCAATAAAAGCAGTAATTATTGACTAATGATTTAGCTTTCTTACACCTGCACCTTGAAGTCCTTTTTTCCTTTTTAAAAATGATCTTATGTCATGATAGACCCTTTAAGGTTAAATAACCAGTATGTGCTTTATTATGAGTATGTAAGTATTGTTCACTGCTGTGCTAAGTAGTTTGCTGTGATTACAGTTCTTCTGCTGTAAAATTTTTTTTTGTTTTTTTCCTGTAGTTAATAATGGTCACATTTTCTCATTGGTTTTGTTGTATACTGGGCATGCCCCCCAAAAAATGTATACAAGTGGACACTGGTTAATGTTGCTCAGGCAGTAGTTTGCTGTAATCAGAAGTGTCTGGATGCTAATGGTAACCACTTTGAGCACCTCTTGTAGTTGCAGAAGTCAAACGTGACTTATCTTCATCTTTTGTTATTGGTATATATTGAGTATTACAATTTTAATAGTTTTTTCCTTTCTTAAAATGTGTGTACATTTTTTTTGGCATCCTCTGTATATACCAACAGGTAATGATTCCAATTGCTTAGACAAATCAGGTGATGTCATAGTCTTATTTTTCCCCTGGAGAAAATATAGCTCTATGTGTTCCTGCTCCAACTGAACTGGCCACCTTTTGGTCAATTGCCCAGCTGCCATTCTGAAACTACCTTCCTAGGTCATTCTTCTGAGGTCGATTCTTTGTTTCCTGGATGCTTTGTTTTCCACTTTTTTGCTGTACAGCTCTGTTTTGCTGAAGCACATTCTCCAGTGACTTCATAGGATACAAATTTATTTACCCCTCGTTTATTTGGAAGTATTTTTATTTTAGCCTCACTTTGATTGAGAGTCTGGTTGTATACTGAAATCTAGGTTGAAAATTTTCACTCAACATTATGAGACAGTGAGGTTTTTTTTNCCTTCACTCAGAGCTGTGGGTATTTCAACGTATTGTATCCCAGCACGCCTCCCTCCAGCCCACAGTCTAAATTCTGCATAGCTTTCAAAGCCCTTCAAAATTCAGGTCAATTCTCACTCTTTGCCCACGTGACTGACCTAACCACTGTCCATCACAGAAGCATTCCCTCTGATACCCTCAGCACACAAGGGGTTTAAAATGACAAAGGAAGCTGCCGCCTGGGTAATCAGATGCTTTGCATTGCTTCTCCTGATGATGGTCAAGCACAGTTGGGAGTGGTCACTCACGAAAGGATAAAAGGGGAGTTCGGGTGCTCTTGGATATGTGACCACGCATGCAACCAAGGGACCAGCTCTAGGGGAAATATCTCTCTGCTGGCTCCAAGTCCAGAAAGATCAGTCAGATGCCACAGTGCTTCCTGTTACGCAACCTGCCACCCAGCCAGCAACTCAGCAAAAAAAAAAAATAAAATAAAATCAAAGCAGTGATTAATGGAGGAAGAGTCTTGGGCTCCCACAGGCTTCCAGCAGAGTTCCAGAGGCAGAGCCCTGTGGAGTTAGTGCTGCCAGAGCTGTGAGACCTCCTGAACCCCGCCCACATCTCAGGCAGAGGTCTCTGCCTTGGTCCCAGGTCTCTTGGCCTCCCCTCCCCTCAAAGCATTCAGCTCCGTTGTCCCCAGCTTACCTGCTCTCTCCACCTGCTGGGCTATGGTAGAAGGGGGCTGCACCTTACAGCTCCTTCTCCCCAGAGAGCTGGGATCTGATTCTCCTCACTTCTCTCTCTGGCCCCAATTTCTTCTTTCTCAAACTTGCTGTCAGCAGAAAGAAGAGTTTGAGCTGTTACGAGCTGGTCAGCAGAGTGGAGGGAGCTGAGCGCCTCTGACTCATAGAAGGGAGCACCATGTCTGTGAGGGAAACAGGCCCACGGAGGGAAAGAGGCTAGACTGATGTCACAACGGGTAGCTGGCAGAGCCAGAACTAGAAGTCTGATGCGGTGTGCTCAGGCCAGAGCTGTAACCATTGCAGTAGGCCCCTCAGATCCCAACCGGAGCAGGTTCCCACTCCAGCCTGGGGCAGGATCCCCATAATACGAGGGGCGGGCTGCATTGGGAGGTGAACCACGGCACACCCGGAGTGGAGGGGACGATCCCCGGGCCTGAAGTGAGGCGAGTGGGCTACTGTGGGGTAAACAGGGGAGGGGCTCCGGGACTCGATCGGGCCCTAGGACTAGGTGGAGACTGGGTAGAGACAGGCCGGGCAAAGGCGCATACAGCCGGCCGAATCGAGGGCGGGCGTGGGATCCAGGATGCCAGGCTTCAGGAGCCCTGCAGGGGGTGAGCAGGGATTGGCCTCGGTCGGGGCCCTGGGGACCCGTGAACCTAAACCTTCCACCCTACACCGCCTCTATCTCCTGCCCACCTACCTACCGTGCTTCATGCTGGAGCCGGCTGCGGCCGACACGTGAACAGCAGTCACATGACCGCAGCGGCTTGGGCAGGCCCCGGGACACGCTGGGAGTTGTAGTTTCCATCGGTAGTATTCCCCGGTACGGATATACCATACTGTAACTGATCACTTGTTGGACCGCTGAGTTGTTTGCAGGTTTTAAAAACATAATAGCTTTGGAGTACAGCATAGGGAAAAGAGTCAATGGAATTGAAACAGCTACATACGATATCAGAGGGGTAGTAGATTGGGGGAGGGGCGTTATCACCTTGTGAGGGGCGTAAATGTCTATTACATTGTTACGTACACTTGAAATTAAAAATAGCTTTATGGAGCTTTATGCATTTCACCATAAAATCTATCCTTTTAATGTGTCCAATACAGTGGTTTTTAGTATATTCCTAGTTTTGCAACCATAACCACTATCTAATTTCAGCATTGTCATCACTTTCCCCCCAAAACCCTCTATCCATTAGCAGTCACNAAGCCCCAGTGACCTAACGAGCCTTGAGAAGAGCACCTGTGTGCCCTTCCGATGTCTGACCCAGCACCTCCTAGGGCCCAGGTGGTGGCTTCTACCCCGTAGCACTTGGGGGACCTCATTCACCTGGTTAGGATGTCCCCTGGGGTCATCTCTTTATCTGGCCAGATGTATTTGATGATAACGATGGCAGTGACATACCAAGTGCCCACGACGCTCAGGAAGCTGCCGGGAAGAATGGACTGAACTTCCTCCTTCCTTGGTCCAGGTGCCTGTTCTGATTCCACCCCAGGGGCATCCACTCTCAGCTCTAGTGCCACAGTGTATCCTGAACAAACTGGGAGACTACTCCAAGCAAAGACTTAAGAAATGCATGAGAAATAAGTTTTGGAGAAACTGGCCACAGCTAGGAGGGAGCTGGACCCCAATAGGAGGCCAGACTGACATTTATGACCATTAGGAAATGCATTGGTTTAGGTCCATGGCTTGGAGGACTGGGCTTCAAAGCTCATCTCCTATTTCAATCAGAGCAGCCCACACTTGGCGAGCGCTGCAAGCAGGGTCTTTGAGAACTAGGGCCTTTGAGATACTGGAGGTTAAAGGGTTGAAGGTACAAATACTGGAATATCAACATTCAAGGGGACCTTGGAGACAGCTGAGTGTGACCCTGTCAATTATGGACCACAGGAAACAGCTTAGAATCCCACAGCTTTTCAGACCCTAAACCAGGAAGCCAGTTCTCTCCCTTCATACTATGCTGTGTGGAAGATGCTGCCAGGCTGACGAAACCAACTGATCAAAAACCCCATTCTCCCTGGGAAAGCCAGGCCCAGGCCAGGAGGCTGTCTTCACACACCTGATTATCACCCATCCCTTCTCTCACAAGTATATTGGAGCTGAGTACCCCACTGACACAAAGGGCCACGTCTCCCTTGTCACTGACCAAAAAGGAAGTCTTATGGAAACCCCTGCAAGCCCTGGTCTGCGCTGCCTCGCCCACTCTTGCTGCCCCAGGGCCTGCCCCAAGGCAAGGTGGCATGGAGGAGAGGGTCTCCAGTTGCCTGTGATCAGGTTGGGGTGGGGCCTCCGAACCTGGCGTATTTCTGGAAGCCGATCTCCCTGGGGATGGAAAGGGGCAGGATGAAGAGGAAGGCAGTGAGGCTGATGGTGAACTTGCGGTCTGTGTACCAGGGGCTGCCGCCGGCCCCCTCAGGCTCCTTTAACATCACAGCTATAACTGCACAGGGAAGAAGGAGGGAACGTCACGCCAGGCTGCTGCAGGGTGCGGCCCTCCTGCTCTGCTGGGCCTCAGGACCTCCATCTGTCTCCTGGGCCCAGCAGCCAGGAGGGAGGATTTCCAGATGAATGCCAGGCTCAGGCTGGGCCTGGGGCAGGTGTTCCACGCCCTTTCCCTTCCCCCGGGACCCCCAGGGCCAAGGAGAAGGGATGAGGTAGGTACTGAGGGAAACTCACTCTTGTCCTGCTGGTCCCCGATGATGATGAGGAAGGCGATGCAGGTGCCAAATGTATAGATGGCAATGGACACCTCACACAGCACGCCCGTCAGCTTGCCGCACACTGCCCACACCACCTCCTGGTAGGTCCGCTCATTGCTGGCCTGAGAGCAGTAGGCCAGGATAACGAGGCCACTGATGATGAAAACCAGCATGCCCTGTGGGCAGGGACAGAGCGAGAAGCTGTGGGAATGGCCAGGCAGCAAAGGTCGGCCTGGTCTTGCTCAGCATTTCCTGGGCCAATGTCCACAGCCGGTTGGCCCATGAGCCTCATCTTGTAGGACAATTTTAATAGATTACTGGAGCCTGCCGAGTTGAGCTCTTCTTTAAAAACAAAAGCAGTTTTACAGAAAACTTCAAACACACAGACNGGTCCGCACCTGGGAAGACAAAGATGAAGCAGGCGGCCAGGCCTCCGATGAGGGAGATGACCTTCCCGATGTCAGGGATGAAGAGCGCCAGGAGCAGGGTGAGCAGGAACCAGACCAGCGTCTGCAGCACTCGCCGCCGCCGCTCCCGCCCCACGTCCTCCTCCACCGGCACCCCCTGGTAGCGCAGCCACAGGCCCTCGACCACCGCCCTGTCCACAGGGAGAGGGCTCAGCCGCGACCCTGCTAACAGCCCCCACCTCCAGCTCACAGAGCCAGACCCCCAGCTGGGCAGATGCAGGTGAGGCCCTGATCCCTGAGCCCTTTTCCTCTTCTGTAAACCGGGCCTCGCGTTGCTCTTCTCGGGGTGGGCAGCCTTAGAGACTGGGTGACATGGTCAATGAGAAAGGCTTAGCGCCCTGCCTGGCCCAGGATGTGCTCACCCGGCGGAAACTGATGCTATTATTCTTCCGGAAAGGAAGGGGCTGGGATACCCAGAAGGCTGGGTGTTCAGAAAAGAATCTGGGCTAGAGGTTCTCAGAGGACTCACAGAATGTTCTGGAGACCCTGGGACAAAGCAGGCCCAAGACCTGGCCGGGGCACTGTTTCCTACGGGCTTCAATTTCTCCTTCTACAAAGTGGGTTCCACACAAGGCCAAATGGCCATGTTCCATGGGCTTTCAGGGGCCCCGAGGGAGCACCCCAGTGGGGTGCAGGGGACTCACCGCCCACAGAAGTGCAGGATGGAGTAGGAGGTGAGCACGCTCAGGATGATGAAGGCGCGGGCCACAGCCACGGCCATGTCGTTGGAGGGGTAGGACAGGAGCACGTCGGGGTCCACAGAAGCGCCAAAGGTCAGGAAGCCGCAGATGCCTGAGGGCAGGGACATGAGGGCTGGGTCAGGGCCACCCTGGGCGGGTAAGGGGGAACGGTCTGTTCATTGCTGGGCGTGACATCAGCTGGGGCGGGCGTTGGAGCAGCTCTGGAGGCTTACAGGGTGCTGGGCTGGGCTCAGGAGCCTTCCTCCCTGGCTTCTCACTCCCGCCCTCCCCCGCCACCTTTCTGAGCTCCCACTTGCCTCGCACGGTCCTGGCTCAGAGCGTCTGCACTAACATTCTGTCTGCCCAGCCCTCCACGCTGCCATCTCCTCATCGCTCAGGTCTCCGTTCAGATGTCCCCTCCTCAGAGAACGCCTCCCTGCCTAGCCGCCCACAAGGACCCCCACTCTCAATGCTTTCTCACATCACCCTGCTATTTTCTTCATAGCACTCCTCTCTCTGAATTCTTTTTAAACTTGTGTATTGTCTGTTTCCCCAACCAGAACACGAGCCCCAGGAGAGCAGGGACACTACCCATTTGCCTCTCCTGTTCCTGGCTCTGTCTTCAGAGGTGGAACAGTGATGGCCCCAGAAGCATCTGTGGAAGGGATCACAGGGCCATCCTTCCTGGCCTCCCGGTCCTGCTTTCTCGTCTAGAACATTCTCCACACAGCACCTGCAGCCATCTTTCGCAGAGCCATGCTCCTGCTTGAAACGTTTCCTGTCTGGCTCCCAACAGTCCTCAAGGCCCAACAGGATCTGACGCAGGTCCCTGTCTGGCGGTCCCCGGTCCGTCTGGTGGTCCCAGGTCCCTGTCTGGCGGTCCCCGTCTGGCCTCAGGGCCCGTCACCTGCCCCAAACTTGCTCCTCTCCAGCTATACAGACCTTTCTTCTGTCCCAGCCTCAGGGATTGGCGTTTTCGGGTCCCTCTGTCTGGAATCCTCTTCCCCCAGCTCCTCACCAAATGCCAACGCCTCTTAGAGGAGCTGTCTGTGAACCATCCCCAGAGCCACCCCCTCCCAGTCCCACTCACATCTTCCCTGTTTCACTGTCACCATAGTACACATCACTGTCTGAAATGTTTCACTATTTCTGATTCACTCTTGTAAGACCGCCTCTCTGACGAGACTGTTAATTCCATGAGGGCAGAACCAGGTCTATGTATCTCCATGGCATTCCCCATTTCGAGAACAGTTCCCGGCACTTACGAGGCGCCAGTTGAGAGCTGCTGAATGAAAGGATGAATACATCTCTCTCATCTGGGGAGGAGGAGGCCCAAGGCAGCCAANCTCTGTGGAGGATGGCGGCCTTCCGGCCACCTTCCTTCTCCAGAGGGAGGGTAGGCTGGGTCCTTTATTCTGACCCTCTTCACCCATGGGTTCCAGGCATGGAGAAGTTGAGAGCTGGAGGAGTCGGGGAGGTTCCTTTTGTGATGCGAGGCCACCTCCCACCATCCACGTCGCTGCCAGGACAGAGGGGGCAGGAGGGAAACTGGGTTGGAGCTGTCCAGAGGTGTGGGGCCTGGTTTCACCCCAGGTCCATCCCTGGAAAAGGATGTCTGGGTGTCACCCACCGGTAGAGGTGAATGATGCCAGGCTCAGGGTGGCCCTGCAGCAGTACGAGACGTGTTCCTGTGCCCACTGGCAAAGGCCATGTGTTCCCTGGGAGGCACTGGTTATGCCAAGAGATCCACAAAGATGGCATTGGCTGTGGTCTGGCCGAAGATGAAGGCTCCCAGGGTCACCAAGAGGACTCCGTAAAGGACCAGCGCCCACCAGCTGTGAGGCAGAAGGAGAGAGGGGCCTGGTCAGTCAACACCCCCCAGGACTCTGCAGACTTCAGTATACATGTATCAGTTAGTCACCATAGTTACTTAAATTACTTCTCTTGTACAACACTTCCTACTTCTCAAGGACTTTTCATACAAAGGTTAGTGCTGCCAGGTGTATGATCCCTAATGAACAGGTAAGGAGATCAAGACTAATGGGATTGACTGGTCACAGCAAGCCAAGGGCAGGACCAGGGTTAGAATGCACGTCTCCTGATGGAAAGATCTTCAGGAAAAAGCAGGTTACAGAGAGTGTGAGCCATTTCATTAAGAAAAAAACGAACAAACAAAAACTGTCACCCCAATAAACTTTAATTAAAAAAAAAAAGATAAATATTCCTTTTTTAAAAAACAAAACACATATGCATCAAAAATAGCAAAAAGGTTATAACTGGGTATTGAGATTAAGAATGATTTTATTTGCTTCTGTAGACTTATCTGTGTTTTTTAGGTTTTATTTAATGAATATTACTTGCATAATATATATTTTTAAAAAGCATGCAACCTGTTCTCAGCCTCTCTATTATTCAGGGAAACNAATTTTGAAATGACTGGGTGTCATATTTTTGGGCATTTATCCAGCTTGGTTTCCTCCGCGCTTTCTGGATCTGTGGTTTGGTGTCTGACATTAATTTTTGGGAAATTTTTAGTCATTATTGTTTCAAATATATTTTCTGTTCCTTTCTTCTCCTTCTGGTATTCCCATTATGCATATGTTACTTCTTTTGTAGTTGTTCCATGGTTCTTGGAATTTCTTTTCTCTCTCTCTGTCTCTCTCTCTCTCTCTCTTTTTTTTTTTTTGTATTTGCTTTTCAGGTTTGGAGGTGTCTGTTGAGATATCCTGGAGGTCAGAGTCTTTCCTCACTTGTACCTAGTCTACTAAAAAGCCCATCAGAGGCATTCTTCATTTCTCTTAGTGTTTACCTTTAGCATTTCTCTTCGGTTCTCCCTTAAAATTTCCTTCTCTCTGCTTACATTGCATCTGTTTTTGCACGCTGTCTACATTGTCCATTAGAGTCCTTGGCATATTAATCATAGTTACTTTAAATTCCTGGTTGATAATTCCAGCATCCTCGTCATATCTCAGCCTAGCTATGATGCTTGCTCTGTCTCTTCAGACTATTTTTTTGCCTTTTTATATGTCTTACAATTTTTTCTTGATAGCTGGACATGAAGCACTGGGTAAAAGGAACTGCTGCTGTACATAAGCCTTTAGTAATGCGGTGGCAAGGTGTTAGGGAGAGGGGGAGTGTTCTGTGATTAGGTCTGTCTTTCTGTGTGCCTGTGTGCTGCTGGACTGTGAACTTCACACATGCTTCTTAGTTGCCCCGCCAATCCCCTTCAGGTGGCTGGAGCTGGCTGGAATTGTGTATTTCCCTTCCTCCACAGTGAAGGTTCTGATAAAACCCCAACTGGTTAAGCTCTGGATAAATTTTCAGTTCCTCCTGAGGGCAGATCTTGTTAAGAAAGACAGAATGCTCTGGCATATTTCAAAGTGATTCCTTTTACGTTCCTGCCAGAAGCATGAAATGATTATTCTCTGTTTACTGTGAGAAGCTGATAAGAGTTCCAGGCGGTGAAATGCACAACCCCCCATGACTGGGTCCCCTGCAGTTTTTATCTCTCAGACTTGTCCACACTGAGTCTCTGACAAATCATCAATTGCAGTTCAGATTTCCCTTCCTTGGCACTGGTTCCCACAGGGCTTCCTGCTTGTGAGTTTCTGCTCTATTTGTCTGTCGTTCTTTCCAATTTTGGGGGCAGTGGTATGCCCTATAACCTGACTTATCTTACAAATCTAAGAGTTGTTGACTCTTCAGTTTGTTGTTAGGATAGAGTGAGCACTTCCAAGTTTCTTGCATGCTGGAGTGGAAACACATCCATTTCATCGGTCATAGAAGAATGACCAAATGGGTGGATCTTGTGCCTGTTCTCCCCCAGGAAACACAAAGTGTTTAGAGAATAGAGTGTCTGCCTGCTTTCTGGCTATAATGTCTCTGGCCTTCCTCCACACCTACTGAAAAATTTTTCATTGTATCATAGCAGTAAATTATTATGACATCTGGATTTATAACACCTAGTCTACATCTACATGCACCTACACAAGTAGATTCTGTGACTGACTGGGCTGATTTCCCCCACCAGATTGGAGGCCATAATCTAGAGATGGCCCTGCCCCAATGTAAGGGTATCACTCAGGAGTACTAGGCAGCAGCCAATCACCAGGAGCCCTAGTGACTCAGAAGGCGAGTCTTCTCCAAGGTGCAGGCGCCTCTCTTTCATAAGCAGAAATTAGACAAAGGCGAGCTCTAGTGACCAAAGGAAGAAACTGCAGTTGCACACTCCTTCCAGTCCAGGGAACTAACCAACATAATCCCTGCTACCTTCCAGGCGCTTTACATAGATTATGCCATTTGTCCTTGGATTTACAATATCTACACCTGCAAGGTGGACACCATCCCTCCCACTTAATAGTTGAGGAAAGTGGGGTTCACAGAAGTGAACTGGCTCTGAGTCCCTACAGTGTAAGGGGCAGTCAGTGCTGAATGAGATCCAACCCAGGTCTCTCTGAGGCCTTCGTTCTGCCACCAGTCCCCTGCGACTCAAAGCGTAGGGGCAACACTGGGAGTGGTAGCAATGCGGCCTCAGGCCCCACCCTCGGCCCACTGCATAGACCTCATACTGTAAGCAGAGAAAAATTTGGTAAGCACATTTAAGTTTGAGGAGCACCCTGCCTCCCAGAAGTGGTAGGGGAGCCCAGCCTGGGTCTTCTTCCCAAGAAGCTGAGTTTTCACCTTTGTTTTGTAAACGTGGATTTCTGGTTACAAAGCACTTCTGTTATTTTCCCAGTACTATCATTACATTGGCTCCACTGCACCCTCGGAGGTAATGAGGTCAGTGATTATCATTCCCATATTAGAGACTGGGAAGCAAGCAAGCCCAGAGAGGGGAAGCGACTTGCCCAGAGCCACTAGCCAGCAAGCTTCACACTATTTGACATGGACTGGCTGGGAGAGTGACTCAGGGGTTCCAAGATCTGGTGTTGGTGCCAGGATAGGGGTCGTAGGTCCCCAAGCTTGCCTTCTTGGGTCTGAAATCACCAGGCTGGTTCTGAGAGTCCTCCGCTCACTCGTTTATTCATGCATGGCAGGAGGGCTGTCTGGCTCTAATGTTACTGAGTGTCCCTGGATGAGCTGTTTAGCATCTCTTAGCTTTTGTTTTTTCAGAGAGTAGTCTTGAAGACCAAGTAAGAATGACGCAAGTCAAGTGCTGACACAAGGTAAGAACTCAACAAATGTTAGTTGATATTCATTCGTTTGTTCAACTATCGAATACTTGCTGGGCACTGGGCTAAGACAGCTGGTGACCCTGTTGCCATGGAGCTTACAGTCAAATGGGGGAGACACATCGATCAAGTGCTTCTAAGTGTGGTGAGCAAAAGGTATGTCTTGACTTTGGCCGTGTTTGCCTTTGACATAAGTGCAACCTTTTCTTCCCTGTATTCACTCAGAGAAAGTGCAGTCAAACCTTAAGCTCTTCACCCCTAGTCAGGTGTGAACCATGGCTCAAAGCTGTCCCACCCCTCTAGCCTTTTGAAGTGTTTCTTCCTTGGAGAGTTCCCACCCCCATCACATGACTGGAGCAGAGAGGGGCAGTGTAGATGAGCTGGTTGGTTAAGGGGGTGCAGCTTTGAAGACCACCCCAGAATGCTCTCCCACACCCAGGCAATGCTCCACCTACAATGACCACTTTGCAGTTCCACAACCACATTCCTCCCACCACAGGGCCTTTGGTCTGGAAAGGTCTCATTACCTCTCTTCAATTCATTCATTCTTATTCATTCAGGGGCCAGCTCAAATGTCACTTCCTCCAGGAAGCCTTCCTTGACTTCCCAGATAAGCTCCGAATCCCTAAATAGAACATTCTGTATTTTCCCTCCTTGGTATGTGTCACAGTTTGCAAGTATATACTTGTGTGACCACTTGCTTAGCATCAGTATTCCCCAGCAGGCTGAGCATGGAGCTGGTATCTGTTTTGCCGAATGTCTTCTCACCAGTGCTGAGCATGGTGACTGGCAGCACAACCAGGACAACGGGGCCTGCTCAACACATGCTTCTGAAGATGGGGTGTCGATGCTCAGAATTTTGAAGTTCACCTAAAGAGTTGAGGTAGGGAGGGACACAGAGCATGGTGGCCAGTCTGAGGCCACAGCAATGCATGGAAGACACGGTGAGCGCTTGAGCCAAGGCAGAGGCAGCAGGACAGGGGACTGAGGAGATTCCCAAGTCAGTGGGAAGAGCTGATGAGATGTAGAAGGAAAGGGAGGTGTCAAGAACCACTTGCGGGATCCCAACTTGGTCAATGGAGCATGGCGGTGCCCATTCCTGAGACGGGATACAGACAATAAAGCTACACCCCACCCCCAACTCACACCCCAGCTTATCTTCCTCCTGCCAGTGGCCTGGACTCTGTCCCCAGCACCAGACACAGGCCACACAGTTCAGCAGCACAAGCCCCTTTTTATTAACCATCCTCACTGGTCTGAGTGTGCACAAGAAGAAAAGAAACAGTAAAATGCCCTGGGAAGGAGAGGGGGCTTGTGAGGTTAGGTCAAGAAGATTCCAGCTCCTTTGCCCGACTGCTCCGGTTCTGTGCAATGATTCCCATACACACCCGCCCCCCGCCCCCGAAATCCAGCATTAGGAGGCTGTGCAGCCCTGCTGACTGGGCCGTCCTTCTAACCTTGTCAGGGGTGCTAGCAGGGCCCGGTGCTGTGCACGGGGCTGAGAGAAAACAGCAGAGTGGGTCTGGCCCCAGGGACTGAGAGGGTGTGAGGAAAGGCAAGTCACCCTGTCTGGGGACTGAGTGGGAGCCTATCGGCTTCCCATCAGCCTCTGTTTCTCAGATCTGACTGCCCTGAGTGGTGGGCTGCTGGGCGGGTCCTCCTCCCAACCTTAAGTTTTGGGCAAGAGGGGCCAGGGAAATGCCAGGTGTCTCAGGCAGAGGAAGCCTGATTTGGTGCCTGGTGTTGGCCAGAGTGGCTGAAGTGTTCAAAATGGGAATATGGAGTGGCAGAATAGTGTTCTTCCTTACCCTGTCTGGGACACAATCCAGGTGTGCCCTCAATNCCCCCCCAAGATCCTCTGAGGTACCCTGCTTGTTCCCCAAGGTCCAAAGGATTACACCTACATTTTCATTATGTTTGAACTGGACAAGCTGAATAGCAAGACAAAGACAAAGAGGTGGCTTTAGTTTACATTTGCAACAGCTAACACATCTGTTAGCTTATGGTCAGCTGGACATGAGTTCAGACTTCCGGAACATACAGCCATTCCTCCCCTTTCCTCCCAGTTAAGAAAAAAAGATGACATGGTAGCCAGTGGTCGGGTCTACAGTAACTTTATTATAACAGAGAAACCAGGCTGCAGTAAGTCTACATGATTAGAGCAGATGGTGGTTCTCTCTAGAGGGTGAAGCCTGGGTCCAGCTGGCAGCACACGAAGGTTAAGACCAAAGCCCAGAGAACTTCTTTCCTGGTTTCACCCTGCACTGCCCAACTCGTGATGTGATGTAAGATGCGTGACGGCACCACTGCACTGAACGTAGGCGCGAAGTCCAACCGGGCAGAGGCAACCTCCCGCAGGAGACAATCACTGAAGAGGATGCTGAAATAAGTGCAGTTACCTCTTCTCTGCCGAGAAAGGTAATGGCATGGGGCAAGCAGTAAACTATGTTCTTCGTTCTTCATGTGAATGCTGCAGGATGGGGTGGATGGTCAATGGAGCAGAGGACAGGATAAAAATCTAGGCTAGTTATAGATCTCTGTGCCTACGGAAAAGAACGGCAGTGACTCGGGGGGCCAGAGGAACACTAAAATGCCTGCGAGCACTAAAAAGGGGGGGCCTTCGTTTTTTTCTTAAATAAGACTGGAAATAGCATCTTTTTTTCCCTTGCTGCAGTGGCAGCAGACTTGTTGGGTTTCTGTAATGTGGTCTGTTGATAAGGTTGCTTAATCACGGGACAAACAGGAGGCTGACGGTTAATGTTAGAACTAGGTCTTCTCACAAAGCCTCTAATAAGTGGTATTTTCATGTTGGATTCAACACCACAAGGGGCTTCAGTTAAAGCTTCGGAAATATTGCAATGGCGTGACTGAAAGGTTCTTTTTGGCTATGACTTTCTTGTACGTGTAAACTCTTTCGGAAAAGCTGATACAAAGATGAGGGAGAGTTTGGTTTAGAGCCACAAAGTTCCACACAGATGCTTCTACCTATTTTCCTACAGTTTTTCTTTTTTTTCTGAGAAACATGTTCAAATGCTGAGTTTTAAGTCCTGTGGTTGAAAGAAATGATCCACTCACACCACCCACCCTTCCCTCCTCCTCCATGTGAATCTCACGACAGCAGCAGTGACAGGAAGGTTCTCTGTTTCCTCTCGTCAGGGAAGTTATTTGGTGACCTGGTGAATGGCATGGGCAAGGTAGCCCACATTGCCCGAGGTGACTCCTGCCACAGAGATGCGGCCATCCTTGGTCATGTAGATGGAGAACTCCTTGGTCAGCCGCTCCACCTGCAGAGAGAAGCGTGCTTGGACACTTCCAGGTCGGGGGACCTCCCCAGCGCTAGCGCAATCACCAAGTGTTAAAGAAGAAAAATAACAGAGGCTCTATTTTCTCACTTAAACCCTATTTCTAAAATTGGTGTGCTAGCTTAGAGTGAAAGACGATGAAAAAAGCTATTTTAAAGTAGGATGATGAATTCTGAGACGGGAATAGGTGAAAAAAAAATCTTAGATTCAGCATCTATAGAAACACAGATCCAGAAGCCAGGAACAGAATCGCTATTTGTCTTATCAATACCCAGGCTTGTTCTGTTATCTGTCGAGAAGCAGCCATGTTCACAAAAATGATCAAAACAAGTTCTCTGCTTTGGAAGTCTGCAACCTCATGGAGGATACAGACAGGTGAACAACTAATAAATGGAACAGAATGAAAGCTACATACTTCCTTTACCTAAAAGGGCTCCAAAATAACTGATTTTAGGGTAATCCTCAATAGGTCGGTGACCTGTAAGGAATTCTAGTTACAAGGACTGACTAGTTGGTCGGCTACAGAGAAACGGGCGTCCGCTCACCTGTTCGGGCTTTAGTCCTGTGAAACAGAACATGCCGATCTGGTCGGTGATGTGCTGCCAGTTGTGGGAGGAGCCCTCTTTCTTGAGGTTGGAGACCAGCTGAGTCCGCATGCTGATGATGCGGTCGGCCATGCCTTTCACTTCCTGCAACCTGTAAACAAACCCGAGATGCAGCTCAGTTCCAGCCAAGCCCTGACAGATAAGCCACAGCTCGCTGTGTTTTTACCTTCCTCGAGTACTCCCCTAGTGTGTCTTCATTCTTTGTCCTTGACTGAGTCAGGTGCTGGTCCAGGAAGAAAGCTATTTTATAGCATTCTGTTTTATATCAGAACCCTATTTTGATTAGGCAACTAACATAGTTAACATAAGTGAGTTATTAGGATAAAATGAATCAATGAATCATGCTAAAACTGAGGAAGGCTAAGGCTCTCCTCACTTGACGCAGAGGGCAAAAGCTGTGGATAAGCAGTAAAATATGACCTTATTTTTAACATAGATGGAATAAACACTCCTGCCTTCACAATTAAGACAAGGCACCGTGAACTCACAACATGCCAAGCTCTGTGCTAGGTGCTGAGGAGAGAGACCTGAGACATGGTCCTTGCCTTTAAAAGCTTAAACAGAGGCTGGAGCAGACCTGTAAACAACCAACAATGATGGAACAAGGCTGGACAAGGAAGAACCAATAGAATAGTGCTGTGCTCAGACAGGCCTGGGAAGGGAGGGTTCATTGTCTCTGGGGAACTGGAGAAGGCAGTTCTCTGAATACACATGGTGGGCTTGATTCTGGACGCATCTTCCCCTTCTTCAGACTCTACCATTTCCATTCAACTCCTACGGCTCCATGGGCAATTCCTGTCAGCTCTCACCAACAAGATGACTGTAACAACATTTATAGTTTATCTCCCTGTTCTAACGTGTTCACTTTCCAAACCATCTCTCCACGATGATGTCATGCAGTTGGAATGGGGGTTACAAACTGCCAATTAAAGGTCAAATAACAGTCTCAGTCAATTTTTTTTTTTTTTAAGATTTTTATTGGGGAATTGGGGGATGGGAACAGCGCTGGGGAATCGGGGAAGGGGAACAGACAAGTTGCTGTCCTTTTGTTCNCCTCTCAAGCTGGTTGAGTGAGCTGGTCATTTAGATGTAAGCCTGAGGTAAGGTTTAGTCTGATAGTACCCAATGGTTGGTCAATGGGTCAGCTGTTTCTGAACCGCCTAGAAAGTTTTCTTTTTATTTAAAAAAAAATATTGAGTCAGAATGCCCAAAAGGTAAGGCCAGGGAACCAATATTAAAAAAAAAAAAAGTCCAGATTTGGGAATTATTCTACCTTTAACAAAGGCATGACTATTCTTTCTGAGCAGGAAAACTATCTCCTCTACCAGGTGTATGAATGCTGACATCTTAGATCCAGACTTGAAAAATAGGCGAGGGTTGAAGGCCAATGGTCTGAACTGCTGAGAAAAACATCAGGGTTCATCACACCCCACGTGACTGTTTTCAGGGAGGAAAGGGACTTAGTCCAGGGTGAGCTGGCAATACATGTGTTTAAAAATAACTAGGTCAGCAGGGGGGTCAAGTTCCTTTTCCAGTGGAGGTCTTGGCAGCCAACATTCAACCATTTTGGTTCCAGGCAGGGAGGCTTGCAGCAGCTTCTCCTGACCTAGGCAGACAGTCCCTTTACACAGCAGCTGACTAAAATGTTTATTGTTTTTCCCTTTAAGATACTTTTCCAAAGACATCCCTGAAAGTCCATTCCAGTTAAATTCATTCATTTTCCCTTTCACCACCCTTGTGTATCCATTTGCAAGAGGAACATGGAGGAGCCTGCTGGGCACCGTGTCCCTCAGGGGGAGAGAAGGAGGCAAGAACAAGTGGGGCCCGCTGCCCCTCCCAACAAGCACCAAACACTGTGGTGTGCTCTGGGCCCGACTCCTGCTCCATGGCCTGTCGGGCCAGTAGCTGTCCCATCCTGAATGGCTCCTAGCATGAAGGGAAGGGGACCGAATAACCTTGGGCAGGACTGATGCCTGGCAGGTGCCACTGCTACAGGTCTGCTGACAGACTGTAGGACTATGGTAAAGGTCGCAGACTGGCAGTCTATTGTTTGCATCTTGCTTGCAAATCATTAAAAATAAGTTGAATTAGTTGCCAACTTTTAAGCATCAATAGACCTCCCATAAAAATTGGGACTTGTTTTATTTTTAAAACTTAAGACCTGCTGCAATCCTGGACTTTCATTGTTCACAGTGCCTGTC